AACTTATTTCCATTGGGGTCCTTAATCTTGTCCCCCAGGATGCGACCCACACCAGTCGACTAACACCCAGGTACCTATTTGCTGCTAGGTGAACAGGACAACAGGTGTAAGGAAACGTGTCGAAATGTTTCCACCCGCCGGGAATCGAACCCGGGCCCTCCGTGTGTGAAGCGAGAGCTTTAGCCACCAGGCCACCGGGCCTGCAGGAGACCAAGAGAGGAATATGAAGAGAGCAACAGAGCAATAGTGGGCACACAGGCCGAGGTGGCAAGAAGAGCTCACTTGAGCAGAGCAAAGTTACTGGTTATGGGTGATTTCAACCACAGGGAGATCGACTGGGAAAACCTGGAGCCACACGGGGGTCCCGAAACATGGAGAGCCAAGTTAATGGATGTGGTACTGGAAAACCTTATACATCAACATGTTAAGGACACTACCAGAGAGAGAGGGGAGGATGAACCAGCAAGACTGAACCTTGTGTTCACCCTGAGCAGTTCAGACATTGAGGACATCATATATGAGAGGCCCCTTGGAGCTAGTGATCATATGGTTCTGTGTTTTGAATACATAGTAGAGTTAAAAGTAGAGAGAGGTAACAGGAGTTGGATGGGAAAAACCAAACTATAAAAAGGAGGACTACACAGGTATGAGGAACTTCCTGCAGGAGGGTCTGTGGGACATGTAACGTCAGTGGAATACGTAACAACAAAATGCAGGGAGGCAGAGGAAAGGTTTGTTCCCAAGGGCAATAGAAATACGTAATAGGAAGACCAAAGCGAGTCCTTGGTTTACCCGAAGGTGTAGGGAGGCAAAAACTAAGTGCACCAGAGAATGGGAAAAGGTACAGGAGGCAAAGAACCCAGGAAAATAGAGAGACTGGTCGAAGAGCCAGAAACGAGTATGCACAGATAAGGAGGGAGGCCCAGCGACAGTACGAAAATGACATAGCATTGAAAGTCAAGTCTGACCCGAAACTGCTGTATAGCCATATTAGGAGGAAGACAACAGTCAAAGACCAGGTGATCAGGCTGAGGAAAGGAGGTGGGGAACTCACCAGAAGCAATCAAGAGGTATATGAGGAGCTCAACAAGAGATTTAAGGAAGTATTTACAGTGGAGACAGGAAGGCCTCTGGGTGGACAGAACAGAGGGGGGATGCCAACAAGGAATATACCAACAAGTGTTAGATGGCATACACACAACTGAGGAGGTGAAGAAGGTGCTAAGGGACCTTGATTCCTCAAGGGCAATGGGACCGGACAATGGGACCAGACAACATCTCCCTGTGGGTCCTTAGAGAGGGAGCAGAAATGCTGTGTATGCCACTAACCACAATCTTCAACACATCCCTTGAAACTGGGCAACTACCTGAGGTATGGAAGATGGCAAATGTAGTACCCATATTTAAAAAAGGAGACAGAAAAGAGGCACTAAACTATAGACCATTGTCACTGATGTGTATAGTATGCGGAGTCATGGAGAAGATTATCAGGAGAGTGGTGGAGCACCTGGAATGGAACAAGAGTATTAATGCCAACCAGCACAGATTTATGGAAGGCAAATCCTGTGTCACAAACCTACTGGAGTTTTATGATAAAGTAACAGAAATAAAACATGAGAGAGGGGGGGGGGGGTTGATTGCATCTTCTTGGAGTGCAAGAAGGCCTTCGACACAGTTCCTCACAGGAGATTGGTGCAGAAACTGGAGGATCAGGCACATATAACAGGAAGGGCGCTGCAATGGATCAGAGAATACCTGACAGGGAGGCAACAACGAATCATGGTACGTGATGAGATATTACAGTGGGCACCTGTGACGAGCGGGGTCCCATAGTGGTCAGTCCTAGGACCAGTGCTATTTCTGGTATATGTGAATGGCATGATGAAAGGGTTAGACTCAGAAGTATCCCTGTTTGCAGATGATGTGAAGTTAATGAGAATTAAATCAGATGAGGATCAGTAGTGGAGGCAGGAACCATACATAGCTTTAAGATGAGGTATGATAAAGCTCATGGGGCAGGGAGAGAGGGGACCTAGTAGCACTCAGTGAAGAGGCAGGGCCAGGAGCTGAGTCTCGACCCCTGCAGCCACAATTAGGTGAGTACATAATTTAGGTTTAGGCTAGGTTAGTACTTGCTGATAGTTTTACTAAATTTAATTGTAGTAAGAGAACTCTTAAGTAGTCTTATAAGAAAATATTAGAATTCTGATCAGTCAGTGACTGTAATGTTGGCGAGGTAACTGACATTCTATGGCATATTGTCTACATGGTTATACTTAATGCAGATTATGTATTTAGCTGTTACAATTAAAGTATGGACTACTAATTTTACGCTTAATAAGTTCAACATTGTATATTCTGTATTCATGGTGCAGAATTATATTAACTCCTTGACTGTCGCAACCCCAAATCCTGAGGTGTCTCCTGGTGTCTCAAAATCCCCCCCCCCCCCACCAAAAAAATAATGTTTTCTTAAGAAATGATAGAGAATCTTTTCCTGATTGTAATGACACCAAAAGAACGAAATTTGATGGAAAACACAGAATTACGTTCTCACAAAGTTAGCGACCCTGGCGATTTCGCCCACTTTGAGCCCTATTTTCGGCTAATTCCATTGTTCCAGTCGACCAAACTCATAGCTATTTCTTTAGAACTCCATTTTTCTAGCGATTGAGTACAAGAAACTTCCCCCCCCCCCCATTTACTGATTTCAACTACCCAATAACGTGGTCAGAAATTTGCAATTTGGCCAATTTCACAAAAATTTAAAAAATATGACAATTTCAAAATAGGGTTCAGAACGAACAATGCAGACATTCCTGGCTCTCAAATAACATTTTCTTTGTTCATCAGTCACGTCTCCAGGCCCCTCTGATATTACTCTTGCTTTCTATTTTGAATTTTTATTCAAACAAAAAATAGAAGATTTACTGTTATGCAGACTACTGCAATATTGTAATAATTGTATAAATAATGTCAACCCATTCATGACTGCATATTAGAATGGCTACTTGGACATTTATTGGAAAATGACATCATTTGTTTACTTTTGAACATCGGCAAAAATCAAACATTTCTGCTACTTTGAGCTCCATTTCAAGGTTCCTTTCATAGTAAAACCAATCAAAATCACCTCTATTTTTATAATATGTAGACCACAAAGTCGGCATTTTAATTAAAAAAAAGTTTTTTTCTCATCATGCACTGTGTGTTGCAGGATATTTTTTATATGTGCACACAGACCACACAGACCCATTCTCTCACATGTGGGCCTACCAGCTTTCTCCTGCTTGATTTGAAGCTGCTAGAATTTATGAGTATATATCCGTCAAAAACGGTGGCTCGTAAGACGTATATATACGGCCAAAACAGTCAAAGGGTTAATGGTATAAAAAAGTCCCTCTCTTCCTTTTCAGCATCTTTTCCTTAACTTTGCCCTTGATCTGGTGGATACAAATGCTGTTTTGACTTTAGCAAAAATTAGTTACTTTGTCCCAGTCCTTTATAGCTGTATATAAAAAGGTTTATAATGCCTGACTGCAGGCAGTGGGTATTACTAAATTGGTAGGCTGATAGACAGCAACATCCAGGGAGGTATGTACTTCTATCCTGTGACTTTGAGATGGAAATCTGTTAACTTAATGTTTTGCATTCTTGGTAGGATTGCTGATCTTTTCTTTCTGTCTCATGAGTATAAAGGATGAAAGGCAAATCTTGCAAACTTTTACTTACATTCAGTATTCACTTATCTTTATTTTCCTGTGTATTTCTTAATAGCTAATTTTCCTGCACAATTAGCTTTCCAAGTTCATAGGTTTGGTCTAAGATGCTGAGAGGAGGAGGGAGTGACCTCTGGAACTAAGGATGTGTCAAAGTATGGGTATTTGTATTGGGTAATTTTGATGGTGACTATTGGTATCAACCTAAAATTGAGTGAATGGGTTTGTGCGGTGTGTTTACCTGGAGTGTGCAGTATAAAAAAATAATCCTGCTTTATGCGGAGCATGATGGTTAAAGCAAAACTCCATCCTTGTGTTTGGTTTAAAATAGGCACTTCAAGGTGTTTTCTAGGATTTTTTCTTATTGGCTGTTTCTTGGTATCACTTAATAGAATAGAAGACATACTACTGAAATAGAGATGACTGTAATTGGTTTTGGAACTGGAAGTAGCTTGAAATTTGGCTCAAAGTAGCAAAAATATTTGTTTTTTGCCAATTTTCCTGAGGACGGATAAGGCCCCTACACCACCTGGTCTGTTTTATGGGTTTTTAATAAGTCTGATTCAATTATTTGGATGATGTAAACCATGACCAGTCTTTTCTGGTTATATTTTAACCAAAAATAGGGTAAATCTTCAGTTTTTTGTGTGTGTGATTACGAATTCAAAATGGAGGGCAAGTGTAATATAGGAGAGACCTAAGGATGTGATCAATGAACAGAGGCATTGATGTTTTAGTACCTGGAATGTGTACATTGTTTATTTTAGACTATTTATAAATTTGAATTTTTTGTTGTTTTTGTGTAAAATTGATGATTTCTGTGCACCATACAGAGTAGTTCTAATACTTGAATGGGCAGTTTCTTATCCTCAATTGCTAGAATGGAAGGCATACTAGCAAAATAGCTAAGAATTTGGTCAAATGGAGCAATGAAATTGACTTGCAATAGGACTCAAAGTGGGCAAAATTGTCAATGAGGAAATTGTGCGTGTGTAATTCCACAAGTTTTCCATCATATTTCATATACTTGTTGTCAATATGTTTAGAAAAATATCCTCTCCCATTTCAGATTTTTTTTTTTTAAATGTAAACACTCTGAGGGTCTGCACAGTGAAAGGGTTAACAGACAGCATAATAGAAATAATCGTCTGTTATCATGGTGATTTTGTTTTCTTGTTTCCTTACAGAATAATTTCCCAAACTCCTTAGAATACAGTACTTTAAACTTACATTAATAAATTTTTCCCTGAGTTGCACATTAATTGAAAGTTACTTTTCCAGCCAAAATGGACCAACAAGCAGCGTGTGCTGGTATTTGGCTCTCGTGGCATGTCATTTCGAGACCGCCACCTGATGGATGATATTCGTTCTCTCTTACCACACAGTAAACCTGAAGCCAAGAAAGAGCGTAAAGATGATCTCAGAGTTATTAATGAGGTAAATGCAGAGGCCTCTTTTTTTTTGGGGGGGGGGGGGGAGAAGCATTACCTTAGTATGTATTTTTTATGATTCCCAACCTTTTTTTTTTTTTTTTTACCTCATGAATGTGAACCACCCATAAGATCAAATGATGTGCTGTAAGTAATATAATTAATAGACATGAGACAAAATTTGTGGAGAAAAAATAGAAAGTAGCGATGGATTGTAAATGCAGTATTACCAACGGTTTGCTAAACTGTATTGGTGTTTAATAGGTTGAAGGGTCAGCTTCTGGATATACAGTGGACCCTCGGTTATCGGCTGTAATCTGTTCCAGGTCAGCCGAAAACCGAAATAATATTTTCCATAAGAATTAATGTAAATACAGTTAATCTGTTCCAGACAAAAATATTTACGAAAAATAATTTTTTTAACAATTATATGAATATTACATACCTTTATTGAAGATTAATGCTGGCTTCTGGAAGATAAGGAGGAGGAAAGAGGGAGGAGGTAGTGTTTGGAAGGAGAATCCCCCTCCATAAAGACTTCAGGTAGCAAAGCCTTCTCTGGGGTTACTTCCCTTCTTTGTCTTTTAATGCTACTAGGACCAGCTTGAGAGTCACTGGACCCCTGTTTAACAAAATAACTGTCCAGAGTGCTCTGTTTCTGGCGTCTCTCTAAGATTTCCCTGAAGTGGGACAGGGTTTTGTCACTAAACATGTAGATATGGCTTGTTTCAGCTTTGTCAGGGTGGTGTTTCTCTACAAAAGCTTGCACCCTAGTCCACATTGCACACACCTCTTTACTCTCTGAAGAAGGCACCTTCTTCACTCCCTCTTCCTCCTCCTCTGAAGCAAGTTCCTCAGCTGCAGTCTTTTGCTGTAGGAGTTGAAGCTCTTGCAGTTCTTCAGTGGTTAGCTCTTCCCTGTGGTCCTCCACCAACTTTTCCACATCCTTACCACTCACTTCCAACCCCAGGGACTTTCCCAGTGCCACAATAGAGTCCACAGGTTGGCATGGTCAGGGTCAGCCTCAAACCCTTCAAAAACTGTCTCTTGAACACAATCTGGCCACAGTTTTCTCCAAGCAGAGTTTCAAAGTTCTGTAAGTCACTCCCTCCCAAGCCTTACCTATAAGGCTTATGCAATGGAGGATAGTGAAGTGATTCCTCCAGAACTCTCTCAGGGTCAACTGAGTGTCTGATGTCACTTCAAAGCACTTTTGAAACATTGCTTTTGTGTAGAGTTTTTTGAAGTTAGAAATGACCTGCTGGTCCATGAGCTGGAGGAGAGGAGTGGTGTTAGGAGGCAAGATCTTCACTTTTATAAAATTGAAGTCCCTAAGCACTTGGTCTTCCAAGTCTGGAGGATGTGCAGGAGCATTGTCCAGTAACAGGAGGCACTTGAGTGGCAATTTCTTTTCCAGGAGGTATTTTTCACACTTGGGCCAAACACATCATTAACCCACTCTTTGAAAATTTGCCTTGTGACTCATGCCTTATGATCAGCTTTCCACATTACACACAATCAATTCTTCATGACATTGTTTTCCTTGAACACACTGGGATTTTCTGAGTGATACACGAGTAAAGGCTTCACTTTGAAATCCCCACTAGCATTACCACACAACAAAAGAGTAAGCCTGTCTTTCATAGGCTTGTGTCCTGGCAGTGCCTTTTCCTCCTGGGTAATGTAGGTCCTGTTTGGCATTTTCTTCCAAAACAGGCCTGTTTCATCACAATTGAACACTTGTTGGGCTTCGAATCCTTCAGCCTTTACATAGTTCTGGAATTTGTGAACATACTTTTCAGCCACACATTTGTCAGAACTTGCAGCCTCACCATGCCTTACAACACTGTGTATGACACTACGCTTCTTAAATCTGTCAAACCATCCTGTGCTGGCCCTAAATTCACAAACTGCATCACTTGTTTCAGGCATTTTCTTTGCAAGATCCTCATGCAACTGCCTTGCCTTCTCACAAATAATCGACTCCATAACACTGTCTTCCACTAATTCTTTTTCCTTAATCCACAATAATAATAACTTTTCCATCTCTTCCATTATTGGTGGCCTTTGTTTAGTTAGAAAAGTTACTCCTTTTGCAACATTAATGTCCTTGATTTGTTGTTTCTTTGCCAGGATGGATGTAATTGTTGATTTATTCTTGCTGTACATCCTGGCAAGTTCCAGTGCCCTCATACCACTCTCAAACTTTTCTGTCAATTCATGCTTAAATTCCATGGTGTGTCTCACTTTCTTTACCACAGGAACTTTCTTTTGAGCCATGGTTAGTTATTTCACAGTTGCACTGCAAAAATAACACAAACTACCATGGGAAATAAGCGAAATGTTTGGATGTATGAGCAGAAGCTTCCTCAGCCACCGAGAGACAGCCAAGCTGATGCGCAAGCGACCCCAGCCAGCGGACGGACGTGTCCCAAATGGCCAATCACTGAATTAACGGCCAATAACCGGGCGCCGAAAAACCAGCCGATCACCAAGTTGGCTGATAACAGAAGTAGCCGATAACCAGGGGTCCATTGTACTTTGCTTTTACAGGAACAGCTGATAAACCATATCATTGATTATTTACTTTAGCTAGAGTAGTTAAAAGTAAGAGGAAGGTGTACATGGAAAATAGTGTCAATATGTTAAAGAGAGGTGAATGAGTTAAAGGTGATAACTATTAGCATTTGTTGGGAGAAAGGTTGGCTAGTGCACCTGAATGTAATGAGAAGGACATCATGGAGATTTGGTGTAGAGTTATACAAAATTTTTATAATTTATTAATGTACAAAAACAGCAGAGTATATGGAATAAAAAAAATTAAAATGTATGGTTAGGGAGAGAATGAGTGAGTCATTGTCAGCTGATTTTGTTAAGAATATGAAAATTTTGGGAGAGAAAAATAAGGTGAAAAAGCCAGAGAAGCAAATGAACTTGTCACTTAAGAGCAAGAGTTAGATAGATGAGGTTGAGGTATTGGAGAGAATATTTTGGAGTTGCTAAAATGGATGATGAAAGGGAGGAGATTCAAGAGATGTGAGTGTGTATTGGTTTTAGGCTTGGATTTTGAATGTTCCACTGGTTAGGAGACTGAAAGTAGTTGAGATGTTGTGTTTGAGATCATTGTGTAGTATGAATATTATACAAGGCATAGAAAGCATTGTAGTGGTATGAAGGATGTAATTCAGGAAGAAGAGTGTTGTTGAAAAAGGATTGAACAAATAAGTTGATGATGATGGTGAACGAAAGATGGTGTAGTGAATATTCAAGAGGGATGTGAAGGGGGTTTTGAGTATGGTAGTAGAACCTTGAGTATCCAGAAACCATGTGCAAGTATGTTAGAGTGGAATGAGTTTAGAGAAATGGTTTTTGGGATTATGTATACTGGAGGAATGTGAACAAGGTAATATCTATGAAAGGATTCAGGAAACTGGTTAGCAAGACTTGAGTTCTGAGGTGAGAAGTACTATACCTGCACTGAAAGATGTGTTTTAGTGCTATAGACCATTTACATGTTGATGTCCATATATTTTTGGAGACAGATAGGAAATAAGTGATGGCTAATGTGTTCTCTTTCTTTTGGTCACCCTGCATTCATAGGAAATAGGTGGTGTTAGATAATATATATCAATATATATTTACAATGCTTTAATTTCTTTTTTAATAGATAGCTGAGATGAAGAACTGTAACAAATGCATCTACTTTGAGAATAAAAAGAACAAGGATTTGTACATGTGGGTCTCCAATGTTCCACAAGGGCCTTCTGTCAAGTTTCTCATTCTTAATGGTAAGAAATTTTGCTGTCTAGATTAATCTAGGAACATGAGCAAGTTTTGTAGTGGTTTATAACATTCCATATAATATGCCCAGTTGTTAAGGTGATGCAGAATTTTTGTAACTAATCAGTAAGTAACCTTATCATATCTCAAATTATTTAAAGGATAATATGGAATAAATCTAGGTAGTAGGCTGGTAGACAGCAACCGCCCAGGGAGGTACTACCATCCTGCCAAGTGAGTGTAAAACGAAAGCCTGTAATTGTTTTACATGATGGTAGGATTGTTGGTGTCCTTTTTTCTGTCTCATAAACATGCAAGATTTCAGGTACATCTTGGTACTTCTACTTACACTTAGGTCACACTACACATACATGTACAAGCATATATATACATACCCCTCTGGGTTTTCTTCTATTTTCTTTCTAGTTCTTGTTCTTGTTTATTTCCTCTTATCTCCATGGGGAAGTGGAACAGAATTCTTCCTCCGTAAGCCATGCGTGTTGTAAGAGGTGACTAAAATGCCGGGAGCAAGGGGCTAGTAACCCCTTCTCCTGTATAAATTACTAAATTTAAAAAGAGAAACTTTCGTTTTTCTTTTTGGGCCACCCTGCCTTGGTGGGATACGGCCGGTTTGTTGAAAAAAAAAAAAATATGGAATAAAACATCTTTTGCTGTACCATAATCATTATTTGTTCTATCTTTTATTGTGGTGCCTTCATATATTTTCAGTGCTCCTATCCCTTTTTTTAATAAGCATACAGTACTTCATATTAATATTGGCACTTTCTACATTTATTTTGGTACCAAAACCCACCATGAAACGATTTTCTTCACTGAAACTAGTCGGCTTAGTATTAATGTATCTACCTTTAATTATTCAGTAATATTATGGCTTTGGTGTATCTTAACCCTTTGACTGTTGGTGTCGTATGTATACAGCTTACAAGCCAGTGTTTTTGACGTACAGTATTAATATGCCAAAATTCTGACGGCTTCAAAACAAGCGGGAGAAAGCTGGTGGGCCTACATGTGGTCAATGTGCACAGTATAAAAAAAATCCTGCAGCACACAGTGCATAATGAGAAAAAAAACAAACTCTGACCGTGTTTTTGGATTAAAATGCTGACTTTGAGGTGTATTTTCGTATATTATTTATGGTTGTATTCTCGTTTTCTTGGTCTCATTTGATAGAATGGAAGATATATTACAGAAATAGAGATGATTTTTATTGGTTTCGTGATGAAAAGGACCTTGAAATTGAGCTCAAAGTAGTGGAAATGTTTGATTTTTGCTGATGTTCAAGAGTAAACAAATGATGTCACCATCCAATACATGCCCAACTGGCCAGTCCTAATACACAGTCACGAATGGGTTGACGTTATTTATACAATTATTACAATACAGTGGACCCTCGTTTTATGTAAGCATTGGAAGTCATAATTTTAAAAAATTGCAACTTTTTTCATCAAAATTTTGACTTGCAAATTGTTGTTTGACTCACAAATAGTTGTTTGTCCCAGGTGTTTATGCATGGCCCCAAGCAGCCCCACATTCCATTCACAGCCAGTGTGCAATCCCACACGTTCATACAATACATTTCGTAGTATTCCATTTGTTTTAGTGCTTGCAGCTACTAAATAAGCCACCATGGCCCCAAAGAAAGCTCCTAGTGCCAGGCCTTTGGTAAAGGTGAGAAACATGATAGAATTCAAGAAAGAACTCGTAGCAAAGTACCAAAGTGGAGGAAGAACAAAGAGGGGAGAATGTACTTTCTTCAGTGATTCAGTGATTCTATGATATGTACAGTACTAAAGCAGCTTGAGTCGATAAAAGCTATAGCGCCAGCCAGCGATAAAGTGTAGCATTAACACTGTAGTAGCAAGTATGTAAAGTGATTAATTGATAGAAAAAGGACAGCATGAATCTAACTCTTCCGGTGTTGTTGGAGTTATATAGGGCTACTGACAGGACTGCTGCCTCCACCACCACTATGTATGGCTTATGCTCTCAGTGGCCCTTATACACCCAACAACAAAACACAACGCCACTTATGACATACGTAATGGCATTTTTTATTCATTCTAGAATATTTGTTATATTTCTGTTATTAATATTGTTTATTATGTCATATTAGATGAATTTTGATAGATAAATAAGCTGTAGAGTTGATATTAGTGTCATATTGAAGGACTATCTTGTCCTGCTTCCAAACACACTCCCCTGCCACCGCCACAATTTCTAACATATGTAATGACATATTTTATTCATACACCAACAAGAGTCTTCAGTAAAGGTAAGTGTGATGTTATTATTTTATTCTTCATGTCTCATTGTTGTCTGTGTATGTAAAAAAATATTTTTTTGTGTAAACTTTTCATCTGAAATGGATTAATTGGATTTACATTATTTCTTAACTGACCTCATTGATTCTCCTGATGGAAACTTGATTGGCTGCTCTAGCCTTGATACCAATTTTGCACTTTGACTCCAGCCCCACTCGTCTGCTTCCACCTTCATGAACCCTTACCCTTTCACACTCCTTACCAGTTTAGTGTATGATTTTTTAATGTATTATTTTTATTGTTGGAACTGTAGGCATGTGTGAGTGAACTGTGGGGGTGTGGGAGTAAATTGCAAAGGTGTGAAAGAAGATTAGGCAAAATTGTAAAAAAAGAAAAAAAAAATCTTTAATTTTGTATTGTATTTGCAAATGGAATAGTTTTAAAAATGCAGTATTAGAATGTGAGGCAGAAGTTTGTGGTTATAGGAGGGTGGGGGCAGGAGGAAAGAGGAGTGATTGGTGGAATGATGAAGTAAAGGGTGTGATAAAAGAGAAAAAGGTAGCTTATGAGAGGTTTTTACAAAGCAGAAGTGTTATAAGAAGAGCAGAGTATATGGAGAGTAAAAGGAAGGTGACGAGAGTGGTGAGAGATGCAAAAGGGGAGCAGATGAAGAGTGGGATGAGCACTGTCAAGAAATTTTAATGAAAATAAGAAAAAATTTTGGAGTGAGTTAAACAAGTAAGAAAGCCTAGGGAAAGTAATGGATTTGTCCATTAAAAACAGAGTAGGGGAGTTAGTAGAATGGGAGAGGGAGGTATTAGGTAGATGGCAAGAATATTTTGAGGAACTTGTTAAATGTTGAGGAAGAAAGGGAGCGGTAATTTCATGACTGGCCAGGAGGTATACCATCTTTAGGAGTGAAGAAGAGCAGAATGTAAGTGTGGTGGGTACGTGAGGCATGCGTAAATGAAAGGGGGTAAAGCAGCGGAATGATGGGATACATGACAGAAATGTTAAAAGCAGGGGGGATATAGTTTGGAGTGGTTGGTAACTTTTGTTTAATAAATGTATGAAAGAGGGAAGGTACCTAGGGATTGGCGAGAGCATGTATAGTCCCATTTATAAAGGGAAAGGGGACAGAAGAGATTGTAAAAATTATATAGGAATAAGTTTACTGAGTTACCAGGTAAAGTATACGTTAGAGTTATAATTGAAAGAATTAGAGAGTAAGACAGAATGTAGAATTGCGGATGACAAGGAGGCTTAGAAGTGTAGGGGATGTGTAGATCAAGTGTTTACATTGAACATATATGTGAACAGTATTTAGATAAGGTAGGAAGTTTTTTGCATTTATGGATTTAGAAAAGGCTATGATAGAGTGGATAGAGGAGCAATGTGGCAGATGTGCAAGTTTATGGAATAGGTGGTAAGTTACTAAATGCGTAAAGAGCTTTTATGAGGATAGTGAGGCTCAGTTAGGTGTGTAGAAAGAGGGAACTCTTCCCGTAAAAGTAGTCTTAGACAGGATGTGTAATGTTCACCATGGTTGTTTAATATATTTATAGATGGGGTTGTAAAAGAAGTAAATGCTAGGGTTTCGGGAAGGGGTGGATTAAATTTGGGAATCACAATCAAATGGGAATGACACAGTTACTTTTGCTGATGATACTGTGCTTATGGGAGATTCTAAAGAAAAATTGCAAAGGTTAGGATGAATTTTGAGGAATGTTGAAAGTAGAAAGTTGAAAGTGAACATCAGAAAAGAGTAAGTGATGAGGATCAAAATGATTAGATAAAGAAAAATTGATATCAAATTGGGGAGAGGAGTATGGAAGAAGTGAATGTTTTCAGATACTTGGGAGTTGACGTGTCGGCGGATGGGATTTATGAAGGATGAGGTTAATATAGAATTGATGAGGGAAAAAAGTGAGTGGTGCGTTGAGGTATATGTGGAGTCAAAAAACGTTATCTATGGAGGCAAAGAAGGGAATGTATGAAAGTTAGTAAAACCAAAACACTCTTATTTTTGGATTTGAAGCTTGGGTGGTAAAACAGCAGCAGGAAGGGTTTTGGAGGCAGTGGAGATGTCCTGCAAAGGGCAATGTGTGGTGAAAATTTTTTTATGCAAAAAATTGGGAGTGGGGAAAAATTAGGAGAAGGTGTGGATTAAAAAAAAAGCTTTTAGTCAGGGGGGGCAAAAGGGGGGTTTTTTTAAAGGGGGTTTTTGGTCTTTTAAGAGGAAGGATCAAAGTAAATGACTTGGAAAGCTATAAATCAAATGGGGGAAGGAAAGGGGGGTAGGGGTTCTCCTCAAAAGGGGTTTGGGAAAAAGAGGGGGTAAAGGGGGTTTTTTTGGGGGAAAGGGGCGGGGACTTCCAGCAAGCGTCCCATGAGCGTGTTAGATGGAGGGAATGGAAAACGAATAAATTGGGACCTGACGATCTTTTTGGATTGTAAAAGCGGGAAAAATTTAGTGAAGGGATTCGGGGAAACCGGGTTATTTTCATAAAAGTCGGACTTGATTCCGGGAAATGGGAAGTACAATCCCATTTTTAAAGGGGGGGGTTTGGGGAATTTTGGCTTTTGGAGGGGTATGTTGGGGTTATCTTTATGGGAGGGGGGGGTTAATTTTGGGAAATTTTAAAAAAAACTGTATTGTAAACCCACCCTTCGGAAAAAGAAAAAAGTTAGGAGTAAAAATGTTTGGTGAAAGTTTTTTTTTTTCG